AATTAGCAGCTGTAGAAGAGTTTCCTTGTTCCTTAAGGGTATCAGCGGGTCGCAAAAGTGAATTGTCCAAATAAGAATAGGCTGGGGTTGAATAATTGCTGCTGCTGCTGCTGTAGGGTGGAATAGTTGCAAGAGCAGGGTAAGGCTGCTGCTGGACACTAATGTTTCCACATGTGGAAACTGTTAAACAACTTGAACCAAAATGAAGAGATAAATTTAAATTTGAAAATACTAATATTAATAAAATTATGATTTAGCAAGTTGTAAACATCCCGAAATATATAATTTTGGGAGTGAGGATGACCAGGAACTTGTTGGATACGTTGTGGACAATGAGCACTGATGATGGCAAATAAGCCGAAAGCGCTTTGCATTGATTAATAATAAAAAAGTTTTGCACGAAATACAAGTTTTTCCTTTTTGAATTTAAACCCATTAAGCTGTACAAACTGAGTACGATTTACTAGATAGCACTGAAAGAGATTTATCAAAGGGGGGGACAACCCAAACCCTGTAAGTTTTCCAAGAAGAATACCGTGGTCAAGTCTGTCAAATGCCTTTGAGAAATCTGTGTAGATGACATCAGTCTGGGCGCGCTCATCAATGGATTCAGCAATGTATTGTGTGACGGTAACCAGGTTGGTGACTGTTGAGCGACCTTTCATAAACCCATGTTCATAGGATTTTCGATTCATTTCGAAACACGCGCGTGCAAAACGACGCTACTACATCCAAACAGCCCAACAAACCAATTGGTACTGATGTATGCGGCCGAACCGAACACTCCGAACAGCAGACAAGATCATGACGTCACGAGTAGCCCCCACCAAAACAATCAACCAGAGAAACAGCTTATGATTCTCGTGGCTATAGTGACAAATTTATGTGTTACAGCCACGTGAGACATACGCTGATTCTCAATCAAAAAATAAAAAATACTGCAGTTTTTTGAAAATGGTTACCAAAATACTGTTACATGCATTTTCTTCAAGCGTTACAAGCAAAAAAATCTATCGGCTGGAGTGAAGGACTTTTTTCATAACATTGTGGCAGTCAACCTGTTAAATTAGAAAATATTTTTTAACCAAACAAGAAAAAACTCAATTTAAAATTTACGGCCGAGTTAAAGTCTTAGTATCTGCAATCATTATTTAAAGCCATTATGATTTCAAGAGATCCAAAAGGGTAGTAGAAACCGCCCTCTAAATCAGAAAATATTTTTTATAGCTAACCATTTACGGGTGAGTAACAGTTTTAGTATGTACAATCTCGCTCTAAAGCGGCTATGATTTCGAGAGATCCAGAAGGGTAGAAAAAATTAACTTGAAATATATAATAGAATTACAATTTTAGTATATATGATGGGTGATATGCTGATTACCATAAGTTATTATGAATTATAAAATAAACTAAAATATGTGACCAACAAAATTGTTACAAAAATAATTAAGGATTAAACGACTTACCTTAAGGAAGTTTAATCCCAATTATACGATATTGGACACGTCCTCCTAGATCACCCTGTAGTTTACTTCTTATCACTGTTGTGTGCGCAAGTTTAAAGAATGATTCACTCATACCTAACTGACTGTTCCGATCCTCTTTGTACTCATTATACTTCGCAGGATCACCTCTGGGTTGGGTGTTAAATATTATTTTTTATTTTATTATTTTTTATATTATTTTCCATTTAGGGGTGGGTTTGATCTAGGAGGACGTATCCAATATCATATAATTGGGATTGAACTTTTTAATGCTTAATTATTATACTTCTATTGGGCACGTCCTCCTAGATCACCCTGTAGATGTTTAGAGATAGATGGAGGTGATCTTATACCACGACTAGTTTTGTATCTGTTTAATAAATTTAACATTTTTGTAACAATCTTATTTTGAAAAATTAACAAAATATTAACATTTAATCTAATTATAATATTAATATAACAATATAAATTTAACAATTTAAAACCCTTATTTCTTATAACAAAGGTGTTTCGTAACAATTAAATAACTTTTATTTTGTACATACATTTTTTGTCATTATCTATATAACTGGAAAATGTTGCATTTTTTACATTCACAGGTCTGTTGTAAAATTTGCAAAGTGTGTTTGACTTTTCAGACCAGCCTGCTGAATTTCTGATGATTTCGATATTTATCCTTAATGCAGCCGAGGCTGCAGCATGCCGAGTGCTATGTCCCTTAAATTTGTCTGTGTTTATGTCGCTCGTTTTTTATCAGTTTTTTATCCTACGGCTAAGCGTTTGTGTCGTAGCATGATGGTAAGGCTTTTTTGTGGTTAGGATCAAAAATTCTTCGTTTTCACTGAGTGCTCTGGTTCTGTCAATATAATGAAGTATAGTGGTGGCCGTGCAGAGAAAAACCTTAGCTGGGGCTGAGGTTTTCTAGGGGCTGAGGTTTTTAAAATGTCCGTGATGTTATTTTGGATATTGTTTGCACTCTTTGAGCTGTGGACAATGCTAATAATAAAGTAAACTTAATAGATACATTTCTTAGGTCGAGGTTTTCATTCGGATAACGTTTTTCGAGCATAAGTAATACTGGATGTGGGTCCCAAGTTTCGTCGTATTTTGGAAATGATGATCGTGTTCTAAATATTCCTTTCATGAATCGCTCTATGATCTCAGATTTGGCTGCCTCTGATATAATATTTAGGGCTGATTTGTGTGTATTTATGGTAGAGTACTTTGAACCTTTCTGAAATTCTTGGTTAAGGAAATCAAGATTTTCTTGATTACTTGGGTTGTATATTTTGTCGGAGTGCCCCTGGTAGAAGGTTTACCACTTGAATTAAATTGTTTTGGATTGTTTTATCGTATTTGAGCTCAGAGATGAAAGTATGAATTCGGCGATGTTGCCAGATTTTCCGTTTCTCTTATATTATTAGTCACTTTGGTTTTTCAAATTGATCACCCTGTATATTAAGTCATTATTGGAATCTCCTATTCAATACGAGTTCAACCATATGCAACACTTATGATTTTATGTAGTCTGGAAGGTCTTAAATAAATAAAACAATCATGGAGAAATGTGGTAAATGCACTCTATCATCGATTAGGGTACTGTCAACTCACAAATGAAGCACATTTTGAACACTTGATAAAGTAACTATTATGTTAAAAATGGTGTAATCTTTCAATTGTTACGTTTTAATGTAGTTGAAAATAGTTTGTATTAAAAAATTTGAGACAATTAGGCATTGCCAGACTTCTGTTTTATTTATTTAAGACCTTCTAGACAAGATAAAATCATAAGTGTTACATATGGTTGAACTTGTATTTAATAGGAGATTCCAATAGTGACTGAATATACAGGGTGATCAATTTGAAAAACAAAAGTGACTAATAATATAAGAGAAACGGCAAATCTGGCAACATTTCAAATATCAAATCTGGAATCTCCGTATCCCAAAATAGGTGTACCATAAATTTTGTACAATTAGGACTAGCAATTTACGAGATAATTGGCCGTTTCCAGACTTTTGGGTCACTCTGTATATATTTTTAAGAAGCATCTTTTTTATTAAATTTGTAGCATTGGCATAAAAGGTAAGACATCATCACAAGTATCTATAAAGTTATTGAGTTCATTCGGTTTCCCATCAAAATTGGGAATAGTATGTAGAAAAAAATTCATTACTTGATAATTAAATTAATCAGCCATATTTTTTATTTTAATAGCCGAAATTTCCTTAGGAAGATCAAATAAATCAATATCACTTTAATTAGTACTACTACCTATTTCTTGATCTACCCTACTTTTAGATTGTTTTCTAAAGTTTTTATTTTTTTAATAGTATCCCTTAAACTTTTAATTATTAAACTATTTTTATTTGATAGATTAATTGACTTTGATCTAACTAAAAGGAATATTTAAAAAATAAAAATGGAAAATAAGACAAATTTTTCACTCTGATTTCTAATGTAACTATCTTACTGTCCAAACTCGATTCGCAGCTTCAAGTTAAAATCTCGCCTGCATTTTGGAAATGTATTTTCTTTATTTTTAATAACCTGGACAGGATCCACAAGTCCACAAGTCAAAACCTGGCAAATGGTCCAGATCCACAGCTTTCTTGAAGTCAAAATCTTGCCCGGTAATGTGTAGTTGTACTTTGATTGCAGCACTAATTTTCACAAAGAATAAGACAGAGTTGTTCAGTCTCTGAATACATTTTTTGTAACAGTTTTTTTATCACAAATTTTTCCGTAAGAGTTTTAATAATATTTCCGAAACGAAAAATTTTCACTTATGGTAAGTTCCGTTAAAGGTTTAAAAACCACCAATCCGTAAAGGCACTATCCACTAGGGTACTATGTCTCACTTCTTGTACAGGGCTATCCTACTGACTGCGCCAATTTTGTTTGGAATGTTTAATTGTTGGAGTCTTCCTTGTTTGTTGAGTTCGTATTCTTCTTTTTTTGCTATTTAATGACCACACTACACAATTTGAAATATCTGGTGCATTTTATAGAATCTGTTACCATTTTATAGAATCTGGTACATTTTTTAGACAAATCTGGTACATAAGAAAAATATATTCTGGCAACACTAATAGGAAACCCTACCTTTCCACATTCAGACTAAGGAATACTTTTGTCTTGCGTGTTCGGTGAAGATCTTGGTTTATGCTGTATGTAAGTTAGTAGAGGTGGATGCGTAAAGTACGTAATTATGAACTAGTGTATGAGAGATTTGATGAAATTTCTCTATGATCGGTAAAACTATGGACATGTCTGTTTGTGTGTTTGGTATAAATTGCACAAAAACATTAAAAAACTTGGTAACACTACAATATCACGAAATAGTTCAATAAACACTTTGTAAAATATCAAGGATTTGCTACATACACAATTATTGACGAAACAAAATAAAAACGCATATAAAATATAAAATTTGTCTCAATAAAAAATTAGATCATCTAGGTAATCCCTTGTTAATTATACCTTTCCATATCACCCCATCCTTTTCTTTGACAGGTTAGTATAGATGTGGATATGTTGGAAGAAATGTTTTATTTTTATGAAGATGAACGACCACCTTTTGATGAACCTTCTCTAAATAACTTGTTAAGTAATAAGAGCGTAGTAGTTGCTGTTAAGGGACTTCATGGAGCAGATACTTCCGATTGGGATCTCCTACTAAGAAGAATTGTAAGAAGGCTTTGATATATACTATTATTTTGAAAATAAATACACTAACTAAAATAATCTAACGAACAATCCCAAAAACTGCCATTATAACTTTTAAACAGCATCTCGTAAACGTGATTTTTTAGCTAAAGAATGTAATGTTTTTCTTATATTCGAGTAATTTTAGTAATCAAATATAATTTAATATTACAAAAACGACCTTGTCTCGATATCAGTTTATCCAACATACAGTTAAATAAAGTTGATTCCATACAATTTCTAGGAAACACTTTTGATAAAAATAAGTCTTCTAAAAATCAATATAAAAATAATTAAGTAATATTAAACTAAAAATATTAAATTTCCGGAATTTATGATGTTTTAGTATTAAGTCGCTTATTCACCAAAAAGCAAACACGAACAGCAAGATAGTGGGTGGGGTTTTCCGTGTTTTTTTCACCTGTATGTCGAATAATACAAGCTCAGTCGGTTTCAGTGGTTAAAATTCATTTAAAAGAGGATGAATTATAGGGAGAATATTATTGTTATTATATAAGAGAAAACATTACTTCTTCATTCATAACTCAGGGCAACAAAAAAATATTTTTTTTTGGTGCCTGGGATTTTAGAGCTGATTTTAACTATACGCTAAATCTGTACATGCAATCCATTTTTTTCTATCAGCTCTACTTTTTTAGATACATCAACTTATCTACCAATGTGGTTTTTATTCAGTATATTCATTTATGAGAGTTCTAAAATTATTATATATTCATTAATGTAGGTACAATGGTTTTATTGTCAGTCTGTAATTAAGTAAATTCCAGGTAAATCTATAAATAGTGGAACCATTGCCTATCAGGTACCTAAACTGACCCTTTTAATCCCCTAACTCGGGTAAGTCTCGTCAGTTTGTGCGTTCTTACTAATGAGAGTAGATCGAATTTGACGTATTATTTTATGTTAAGAAAAGAGTGTTTTTGTTTTATTGAACAGAATTAAAATGAGTTCAGGTTCCAGTTCAAGAAGAAGTTGTGTAAATCAACCTGATGTGTTTTGCTATATATGCGGAGAATACATGTTTCAACAAAACAGACAAACTATTACTGACTTTGTAAAGCGAGCGTATCTTGGATATTTTGGAGTTAACCTTGGTGATCAGGACAAAAAGTGGGCCCTGCATCTCGTATGTAAAACTTGTAAACAGTATTTACGGCAGTGGACTACCGGGAAAATTCGGCGTACCAATGGTTTGGAGAGAATCAAAAAACCACTTCAATGATTGTTATTTCTGTTTAGTAAATACTAAAGAAATACTAAAGGAATCGAAATAACCGCAGTAAGTGGACTTATCCCAATGCAGACTCGGCAATACGCCCTATCCCGCACTCAGATGAAATACCGATTCCAACATTTCATCAGCTACCAGATATCTCTGATGACGAATATTTTCCCTCTGATCGCCGTTTTGATGCTAATAAAAGTTCTGATGCTAATGAAACTAACAGTGACTATGAGGAGACGTCATCAGTTCCTTAACGCTTCAATCAAAATGAATTAAATGATCTCACCAGGGATCTCAATTTATCGAAAAAAGCTTCTGAAGTACTGGCTTCTAGGTTGAACGACAAAAATTTATTGGACCAAGGAACCAAAGTTACCTTTTACCGTACAAGAGAAAACTATCTGCTACCACTCTTTTCTCAAGAAGACAATCTTGTATTTTGTCACGAAATTAATGGACTCATGAAGGAAATGGGACTTTCTGAATATATTCCAGATGATTGGCGCCTATTTATTGACAGTTTAAAATGTGTACTTCTACATAATGGGAATAAATATGGTTCAATACCACTAGCCACTCAACGAAACTGAAAGAAGAATATAATACCGTAGCTTTGGTCTTGCAGAAGATAAAGTATCACGAACATCAATGGATGATTTGTGTAGACTTAAAAATGGTAAACTTTCTTCTTGAGCAGCAAAGTGGTTACACGAAATATCCGTGTTTCTTGTGCCTCTGGGATAGTAGCGACAAAACACACCTCTGGGTTAGAAAAGATTGGCCTCAAAGAGAAAACATGGACGTTGGGGAAAAGAATGTCATTAACGACGCTTTGGTTGAAAGAGAAAAATCATACTTCCTACGGTACATATAAAGTTGGGCTTAATGAAGCAATTTGTAAAGACTCTTGATAAGAATGGGTCATGTTTTGCATATATAGGGGTAAAAATGCATCAGTTGAGCACAGAAAAACTCAAAGCACGGATATTTGACGGCCCACAAATAAGACAATTAATTAAGGATACTGCCTTTATAAATTCAATGATTCAAGTTGAACGAGAAGCTTGGGCATCATTTGTTGCCGAATCTAAAATTAAGTACGTAAGGAACTCTATCGACCTACGCAATAAAAACAATTTTTGTTTTTCGAAATTTTAAAATTTTTTCCAAAGTCCATTTTTCGTCGATTTCAGATTTCATAGTCGAAAAAAATTTACTCACTGAGTCATCTTTTTCTAGCCTTCAAAATTTTTTTGTCAAAATTTTTTTTTCTCAGATTTTCATGCACATTTGGGTACATATAAAAGAAAGCATGACAAATTACAGGGTGGACTCGGTTGCTTCGTTTTTGTAACCGTTTAATATTTTCTTTGTTTTTCTCAGTAACTAATTATTCAATTACTTTGTAAATAAGCACAGATGTAGAGCAGGACAGATACATTAGTGTGCTGTTTTCCTCTCGTCTCTATCTTGAGCAGTTAAAATAATGTAACTCATATTTCTCTAAAATCGTATATCTTAAAAATTTGAGCTCCTAGGTTAAAATGAATACGTTATTTGAATTCAGGACATCAAATTGATATAGAATCAGCTCAAAAAACCTCGACCCCAAAACATCTTATTCCCTGTGAATCGATTACGAATGAAAAATGCTCGCTCGCTATTGCTTGTTCTTTTTGCTCTTTAGGTGAATAAAAGGTTATTGTAAGGAGTTTAAGTTTGTGTTCTGATAAAATATAATAAACCAAAATATATTTAGGTGTACGGTAGGGATACATTGGGCCCTCCTGGAGATCGTTTTAGTTTTTATCAGAAAATGCAGACAGAAATTGAAGATGAAGAAACTGGTGAAGTAGAAATTCTTACTGGAGTTTGGGTACCAAGACAAGCATATGTTAGAGCAACAATGTTAAGGTTTATAGTTTTTATATAGATTTAATTCACGAAGAGACTAAAGTTTCATTTTCTAATAGTATAATATATTATGATAAAACATAGGCTAAATTGCACACTGTAACTACTAGTATATGGTGTTTTCACTTTCCAAAAATAATGACTAAAATTGATCGAGGTACGAGTAAATAGCTGCTATGTTCGCTAGTGTATGTACGCCAAAAAAAGACGCTTCATATGAGACGTGCAGTCGCAAATTATCGAGAACTTCACAATAGTCAACTATGTTTGTTGCATCTAAATCTCGATAATATTTTAATATCAATTTAATGACACATAATTTTGGCACTAATCAATTGATTTTTAGTCATAAGCCTGGACCACACATTTTGGGATCCATCTTACTATTACAAATATTTGATTATGGTTTGGTCAGTTGTTTTTAAATTTTTGACACACTTCCTAATAAAAATTGATATTGTACAATGCGGCAAACCATAAAAAATGTCCGGTTTCTTTATAATTATTAACGATGAATATACAGTTTGTAACAGTTAAATAAAATAAATTTAGTAGCTCAATTACTGTGCATATTTAGAAAAAAATCCCGATACATGTCAATTTAAGATTATAAAATAATATTCTCCGTTGTGAATATTTTACCATACCTTCAATTTCCTTCGAGTAACAGTTGCAAACCTCAAATTTGTAAATGCCTCATTTAAACGGTCTATTCATTCTCTATTCAAAAGTGCTGTGATTTTTATATTTATTGCAAAAATTTACAGAAAAAAAATTAATTCAATGAAATTCGTTACAAACTCGCTAAACAATTAATTACTCGTAGAGTATCGTTGTTGATAATGAGAAAGCAAGCAAAAACAATTCCAATGGCAAACACAAAGACAAAAATTTATCGATACCTTTCATAGTTGAGCACTCTTAATTTCGTTTAAAACGCCTTAGCAACTTGCTGTGTGATTGTAACCGCATGACATTAATTGCTGTCAGTTCTGTTACAGATCCGAAACATTTTTCTACGCCCTACCTTTAAAGTACCTTGTATTTCACCGCTTTTTAACGCTTAAAACGGCTGTTTATGGTTAGAGTGAAAAAAAGTAAAAAAGCGTGAAATAAAGTGCCATAGCGTTAACTTTATTTCACGCTTTCCATAAGCTAATACAGTGATTAGTGCAATTCGTCCACACCTTTACCGGAAAAAAATATCAAGTCACCTTTGACAGCACATGAACTGTAACTGATTTGACTTTAACAGATTTAATTATTATAGTATCAATAATTCGAGGTGATTTAATTTAGTAGTTCTTTATATTTTTATTATGATGGATAGTGAAGATTCCGAGTTTGAAATATGTACACCGGAAAAAATCGTAGAAAAAGCTAATGTGGCCACACTAAATTTGCTGCCGGAGAAATCCAAAGAAAATTATTTAAAAGAATATGACACTTTTATGAAATGGCGGAACCAGAATAATATTCATAGCTTTACAGAGCGGGTGCTATTAGCGTTTTTTGAAGAAAAGTCTAGAAAATTCAAGTCTTCTACATTATGGTCCAGCTATTCTAAACTAAAAGCAACCTTAATTATTAATGATAACGTAGACATAAATAAATATGCTAAACTAATAGCATTTCTGAAACGAAAATCGGTTGGGTACAAACCCAAGAAATCCAATACATTTTCAAGGGAGGAGATTAACAAGTTTTTATTGATTGCTCCAGACGAAAAATATTTAATGTTTAAGGTAAAAGTTTAAAATATTTAATTTGTTTTTACTTACTTTATTTTTTAAAAATTCGTAGGTTACATTAATACTGGGAATAGCTGGAGGTTGTCGACGAGAAGAGTTGTATAAAATGAAAATTGATGACATTGAAAATAAGGGACAATTTCTACTCATCACGATTCCAGATTCAAAAACGCATACAAGTCGGCGTTTTACGGTAATTGGAGAAACCAGTAAAAACATTAATTTAATACATTTTTATCAAAATTATGCTAATCTGAGACCGAAGAATGCAACCACCAACCATTTCTTTTTATCATATAGAAATGGAAAATGTACGAAACAAGTAGTTGGTATAAACACTTTTTCGAAAATTCCATCGCTAATTGCACAATATTTAAGTTTACCGCATCCAGAAGAATATACAGGTCATACGTTTCGACGTACTTCGGCATCGCTTCTAGTTGATTCAGGTGAAGACATTCTTCAATTAAAGCAACATGGAGGATGGAAATCTACTGCTGTAGCCGAAGGGTATGTGAACAATTCTCTCAATTCAACAATGAACTGTGCTTCACGAATTTTACAAGGACCTAACAACAGTTTTTTTAACCAACCTTCAACATCATATGAGAATCAAGCAAAGACAAATTTGACTGTTCCAAATATTCACAATTTAAATGATGCTTTATCCATGAATCAGACAGAAACAAACGTGACTGCATCAAAAATTCATATTAGTCAACCAAACAATTATTGTGTTTTCAATATCCACATTGCGAAATGAAAGAAAGAAAAATACATAATTTACTTGTTATTTTTCTTAATATTATTTGTCCAATTCAATAATCATTATGCATTCGTTATTATAGTTGTAATTTACTAAAGGAATTTAATTAAAATATTCCAAATATCTGTTTTTATTTTATTATTTGTATAGTGCTGTAGAAAAAATATTGTATGCAACATATGCATAAAGTGTCTTTTTTCACTTATGGAATTGCCGCATTCGCCTGGCGGCTCATGCGGTCAACTTTTCCATTCGTGAAAAAAAGTACCACTTTATGCACTTGTTGCATAAATTACTATTATTTAACAAAAATGCATAAAATATCAATTTTACAAATGATTAGTTATGGAGATAAAACAGGAACACACTTCGAAGTTGTTTGCCTATTTCAAGAAAAATTCCCGTTATATCGGTGTAGAATATTTAGTTACATATCTGTACCTCGGAGCCAGACTATGTTAAGTCCAAATTGGTCAAATTTTAGGTAAATATGTTAAGTGACTTAAAATTTTGCAACGCATGGTTCGATATTTTCCATTTTGACGTATCTTTTAAAATAACAAAAACAGCTCATTTTTTAACTACGCTAAGCCCACACTCCACAGTCTAAAATGAATATATAAAAAATGCTCTCCTGAAAAACTAAGTTTTTGGACTTAACATACTCTGGCTCTGGGGTACAGATATTCATTTTACAGTTTCTGCAGAAAATTAGCGTGAATAAAATTAACTTAGTGAACTTTGGCTTTCCCATCATTACTATACCGTCTCGCAAACAAAAGCGTCTATCCAATGTGGTTTGTAGATAATGCGTTGACTTTTGAAGCAAGGGGCCGTTGATTCAAGTTTCGGTATAATCTATTTTTGTTTCGTTATTTTTATTATAATTACACAAACTTATGTTTAATTTTATTATAATAATATTTACATTTGTCTTATATTCACATTTGTGAATTATTAGCAAAAGAAAAAATACAATGTACGGGTAGATAAAGGTTATTTACATCTATGTTCCGATGGAACCACTTTTTCAAAATGTTATTTAGTTTTTCGAAAGAGAAAAATGGAAAGTCGTTAAAATAGTCAAAAGCTTACGATTTTTTTATAGAAATTTAAACAAACTAATATTCGCCCAGTGAGTCGAAATTCAACCATTCTCATTATTGAAAATTTGAGAAAAACAATATATATGTATTTGCATGTTTCTAACATTTTTTTTAATTCTTATATATTTGTTCATTGTATATCTGCGAACATAAAATTTTATGTGTACTTACGATACAACATAATTAGTTCATTACCATTATAATTAAATAAATTTAATAAAATAACAGTAACTCACAATTTAAAAACCCTCATTTATTGATATTATATGAAACACAATTTTTATTTTGAGGTTACTCTTGAGGCCCCTAAAAAATGGGGGGGTTGGGTGTGGGTAGCCCCATCCCCCTACTATATCCGATCTCACATTGCACCCTGTCATCATGAAACATCAAAAATAAAATCATTAACAGCTAGAGTTGCATAAACATCGATAGTCAGAGCTTTTGATAGTATCGATAGTTTTTGATAAAAACTATCGATAGTATCGATGTACTGATAGTGTTGAAAGGTATTTGAAAAAAAAAAAACAGAAAGCAGGTAAACAATAAACACTGGTATTTCCCCGAAAACAGTATTGTGTATTCGCCTTGAAGTTAAATCAAATGGAAATGCAAAATAAAGAGGAAAGTGTTACCAAGCTTATCGACCGTCATATAGTGACCGATTTAGGTGCCCCATTTTCACATACAAGCCACGAAGAGGGCTGAAAAAGTACATCGATGTAGAATAAAAGAAAATTTACGAGTGGCTCTTGGGGATAACACATGGAAAATTCGATTTTCCTTATCAGAAAAATTTTCCGACCCCAAAATTCACTTATACATTCGGGTCATTCAAGAAAATATGTTTTTTCGGACTAGTGACGATGTACGTTTTCATACATTCGATGAGCTTGTGTGGAAAAATTGGGTAACCTCTCGATTTATCCTTAGAAGATTATGCTCTTATTTCAACCCTTTAACCACTTGCAACAATAAAGCCTTTGGTTTTCCGAAGCCTAGTTGTATTAATAATTCATATAGTGAAAACGGCTTGCGTGGAAATATGGGCAACAAATAACCTTTTATTTTTGTTACGGAAAATAGATTTTTCCATGTGTTATCCCCAGGAGCCACTCATAAATTTCCTTTCATTCTATTTAAAATTGATGTACTTTTCAACCCTGTTCGAGGCTTGTATGCAAAAATGGGGCACCTAAACTTGTCACTATCTGACGGTCTATTATCAGCACTTGTTATGGTGTGAATCAATTTTCCGATACTATAGCACGTCGTATTGTTGGGAAAAATCGAAAGGCTTGAAATTTTATTTCGATTTGTACTATATTTGCTTGCCTTTTGTCTTGTCTTGATTTATTTCCTTATAATATTAGATTTTCCTATTTTCATACATCCATTATAAACAGGACAAAACTGTCTCTCAAATTGCGTCATTTTTAAAGAACAACCCATTGAGAAAACTGACTGGCATTATCAATTGGCATCCTACTTTAATATTGCTCGATAAACAAGGACGCAAGTAAATTGAATGCGCACTTTTCATGTGAAAGGCCACTCGACTCCACGGCCGGCGCGGATTCTCTCTAGAGATGTTTCGACTATAGATAGTTCTTTATAAAACTATCGATTGTTCCGCTAGTTAATTTACTATCGAAGTTTATGCAACACTATTAACCGCCCAGCAAAAGGTATCCAAAAGGGGTGGGTGGAAAGAGGTCGGCCTACGTTTTCGATTATCTTTACTTAGGAGGTGAAACACCTAATTATAATAACTGAAATTAAATATACTTTATCGTGATCGCTAAGAATGATGTGCATCAGAATTTTACATTATTTTAATTAAATTTTCAACATTATTTTCTTTTAAAGGATGTTTTTCCCAAAATATGCCCAAGATTTAGAAATTCCCGATCCAGGTCCTCTCCCTCCTCATTATGCGATGGTGTTTGAAACTGATAAAATAAAATCGGCACTGACCATTATTAGTAAATGGCCCAAACAAATTTTACATTATGGATTCTTTACAAAAGAAGATCCAGAGGATACAGAACTCGTAGCAAAAAGCGTACAGAGATTGGAGATGCCAGCCTACAGGGATAAACGCACTTAGTGAGTCATAAGACGGCTAAAAATTTATTTAGTGTTTTACAATCAAATTGAACAAAAGAACACTTATGTAATCACCTCGTTGTCTGTCTAAACTTCCTGCCTGCATCATAAACCAAGAGGAATGGGGTAAGGTCAACGACGAACAACTACTAGACTTCTAGACCAATTTTATTTACAAAAGGCAATTTGCAAATATGTTATCCAACATAGTTTCAAATTATTACACGAATTTTTTGTGATTATAATTCGGAATTAACTTAAAGAAAGTTTTAAAACGCACAAAGAGCTTTTAAAATAACATTTTAATGCCAGTTATTATCAGTTTGATGTCGTTTTCTGGTTGCTACGACTCCATGCGCATGACTAGTAGTGCCTTAACGAGATGCTTGTTGGCGACAAATTTGAATTGTTGGTGACAAATTTGAATTATATTAGTGATATACTGGATGTGTACAGTGGGTCTACGTAAGTTAACTACAACATATGCTGCCGTCTACATAAGTTAGCAGCACGTGGAAAACTTTTTTATTGTTAATTTTAAGAAAAAGTTATTCATTATAAAAATTTGTTTTTGGCCTAAAACCTAAAATTCAATCATCTGATATCAAATTTTATCAGTCGTATACGATAGCACCACATACTTTGACATGCAGATTAAAAAAATTCGCCATACATTACCGTCTCGATGATGGTGGGTGAGATTTTCCGGGTTTTCCTCACCTGTAAGTCAAATGGCACCATCAATCATCCTTAAGTCGCCCCGGAGCACCACGGCAAATAATAATAATAGCCGTCCCTTTCCCTACACAAGTCGTTCAGTCGACTTCAGGGGTTGAAATTCACTCATAAGGGGGTGAATTAGGGAGAGTATTATTATTATTATTATTATTATTATTATTATTATTATTATTATTATTATTATTATTATTATTATTATTATTATTATTATTTTTATTATTATTATTATAAATAACATTTTAATGCCAGTTATTATCAGTTTGATGTCGTTTTCTGGTTGCTACGACTCCATGCGCATGACTAGTAGTGCCTTAACGAGATGCTTGTTGGCGACAAATTTGAATTGTTGGTGACAAATTTGAATTATATTAGTGATATACTGGATGTGTACAGTGGGTCTACGTAAGTTAACTACAACATATGCTGCCGTCTACATAAGTTAGCAGCACGTGGAAAACTTTTTTAATGTTAATTTTAAGAAAAAGTTATTCATTATAAAAATTTGTTTTTGGCATAAAACCTAAAATTCAATCATCTGATATCAAATTTTATCAGTCGTATACGATAGCACCACATACTTTGACATGCAGATTAAAAAAATTCGCCATACATTACCGTCTCGATGATGGTGGGTGAGATTTTCCGGGTTTTCCTCACCTGTAAGTCAAATGGCACCATCAATCATCCTTAAGTCGCCCCGGAGCACCACGGCAAATAATAATAATAGCCGTCCCTTTCCCTACACAAGTCGTTTAGTCGACTTCAGGGGTTGAAATTCACTCATAAGGGGGTGAATTAGGGAGAGTATTATTATTATTATTATTATTATTATTATTATTATTATTATTATTATTATTATTATTATTATTATTATTATTATTATTATTATTATTATTATTATTATTATTATTATTATTATTATTATTATTATTATTATTATTATTATTATTATTATTATTATTATTATTATTATTATTATTATTATTATTATTATTATTATTATTATTATTATTATTATTATTATTATTATTATTATTATTATTATTATTATTATTATTATTAATTATTAATAATGAAGTTTCTTTATATGAAAGATCCTATCTTTTTTTCGCTGGGGAATCATCCCCTTAAATGTTTTATACTTATTTAGTTACACCCTGTATAAGAGAAACGGCAAATCTGGCAACATTGCATTAATATCCGTATTCCAAAATAGGTGTACCCCAAATTTTGTGCAATTCAGATTAGCAATTTACGAGATAATTGGGCGTTTCCAGACTTTTGGGCCACTCCGTATACCAGTACCATACAAGAGCTGCGAATTCTATTAATTTTTGGGTTATAACAAGTAGGAAGGCAGAGTTCAAATTAATCAATTACCTCATGATATAAACTCTCTTTAAAAAGCAAAATTATTTTAACAGTTATTAGTTATGTTATAACTTTCAGCTAAGTCCTCTTGTGTGTTTGTGTTATTTTGTCATCGCTTATTTATTTATTGTCTATTTATTTGCAAATACTCCCTACTCTTGTACATTTATGTATCTTTGTATTAATGATCCATATATATCAATGAATAGTTTTTTTATATTTCCTAAAAAGGTTTTTTATCTTCGTGATGTACCTATACAGAACACAGTGAGATGATGCAGTCCGTATTGTTACATTATTTAAATGTTTATATATAATTGACAAATAAACATTATTATCATTATTAGATAGCTACTTTATTTTGAAAATTAAATATTTTGAGTTTGATGTTAATTTCAGTAATTACCAAATTAAGCAGTCAAATTTTTGTTTTTTTTTTTACTTCAAAATATGTGTATAATTGTAATTAAACTACTAAAAATATGTCAAATGTGTCCCCACTTCCCTATGTACTTTTACAAATGAGTCAAGAAATAAAATATGTTATTTAAAAAATTTAAAGGTCTATAGTCAGCGTGCCATAAGTCCATAATTCATTGAACATAGATGTAATTCCTCCTTAAAGTGACTATGGATCAATAATTTAATGTTTATTAGCAAAAGTAAAAATATACAATAAATTATTTTTAACAATTTAATTTTGTTGTTCCTGTCTAACATTACCTGAAATAAATTATATATAGTCATTAACTTTTACGAGTTACAGTAAACAAATTTGTACTTACCAACAAAAAAGAATTAAGCCACAAATAATCTCTAAAAATAACCAATTGCTTTAATAGTATTAAATGAAAAATGGAATATAGTTGTTTATAAAATGTAAACAAATATAATATAATAATTGTCAGTCCCCAAATGAACGCCAGTGACATTTCTGACAGGACTGACAGTTCAGATTGGTTCCTTTTACATATAAAGACTAGAGATAAGGAGGCGAATCGGCCTTGGTCAAATTTCAAATTTCCGTCCCTATTTTTATGGAGTTCCAAAAAACTACTGTATTTGGCGGGTAGCAAAATAACGACGTCTATTTTCTATGCAAGTCAATGGCAATTAAAGTGATTTTTGTAAAATTTAGTGAAAAGAATAAAAATAAGCTGAAATAAAGAACAATGAGTAACAAAAAAAAGCAAAGCAGGATTTGCTTCGTTCCGGGTTGAAAAATGGGATATAATTCCGATATAAAAAAAAGAAGACACAAGGAGATAAAAATCCAAGTCATTTTAAAGCTCCTAGTGTAAATAAAATAATGTATTTATTTCTAAATAATATATATTTATTGTGAAATAGTCACAACCCGTATCTTACGGAGTGTAGTTTATTTAATTACAAAATTCTATAATAAAAAATAATAAGTCATAAATCCTGACTTACAAACAACAATAATTACACATTAAATTTAACTTACTAGAAAAGAAAATTTGCTTTTTTTATGTTTTTTTGATGTTAGATGAAGAGTTACTACTGTTATTTTTCTTTATTGAACTCCAATTTAATTATTGTAATTATTGTTATAGGATCCTAAACGTTTAGAACAATGGCATCATGTGATTCCTAGGGCCGATAAAGTACTGCCTAGCCTAGTTATGATTCTGTTTGCGAGCTACACTTTAGAAGATGATATTTTATAATTTGATGATACTATTTTAACTAATGGTACTGTTAACAAAATAAAAAGGGAAAGGCCAAGATTAAAAAACAAAGCAATACCATGTATATTCCCGAATCTTCCTTCATACTTGTCCAGTATTAGGAAAAGACGAAAACCACCATTGAACCGAACTGAATTTGTTAGAATAAAAAAAGGAAGAAATTACTAGAACCTATTGCTGGAGAAACTATTCACCAGGATGATAAAATTGTAGTTGTCGAATACAAAATTACCACAAAACTGTACTTACCAAATTTTACCATTTAACAAACCTTTTATTTGATCATAACTAATTTTCATTTTATTTAGATAAAATTAAATAATGAATAGTAAATAATGTTTAATGTAAAGACTCATTTATAATTAATACCAAAAGTATTTTCTGTACTTTAGTTAGCAATTAAAACAAAGACTTATTTACAATAATTAAAATCAACAGTATTTTATGTGCTTTAGTTAGCAATAAACAATTTGATTTTATTATTTTCATAAAATTTTGTAAAATCCCTAACTAAATATTTTCATTTAAACCATGTCTTAGTATGCCCTCAGCCCTATTAATCTTTAATTAAAAAATAATTAGCCCTACCCATCAAATTTCAACACTTATCATCAATAATTTGCTTTTTACTTAAATAGGAATAAATAGTAAATAATAAATCAATTAAAATATGTAAGACTTATTTAGAAATAAATACAACGGTATGTCCTGTGCTTTATTTAGCTATAAACAAGTTTATTTTTATTATTTTGACAAAATTATGTATAATTCCCATAAGAAGCCATGTATTTTGAACTACGTAAACCGTACCAGCACCCATGCGGTTAATTATAAAAGCTCAATTGACGTGTGATTTTTGGGACCGTATTTTCAGCATGCCGATTCGCCTCCTTATCTCTAGTCTTCATACTTTTACATCAAATTATGCCCTTTTGATGGGTTTTTGATGGTTATCAGATCACGTGGGTTTCGGGTATTGTTGAAGACCGGGTACAAAGAATTGGTTCATGACTGATTACATACCTTTTTACATAAGAGCAATAAGCATTTTCCGCAAAATGCTGAGAAGAGACGTAACGCAGATTAGCTAAAAATAATTTCTAAACAATTTGATTAATGGTTTGTAACCACTGTTCATGTTAAATGCTTGAGATTCATAGGAGACCTAAAAAATAAAAAGCTTTAGAATAAAACAATAGGAACATAAATAAAGTAGTTACTGTTACTTACAAATGGAAAAATTTAACATAAAATCACCAAGTAAAGCAATATTTTCAAGATTTTCATTATTTGTTAATGGTTTTGTAAAGTGTAGGTTCGTAAATAATATCTTTGGGGACTGACTTTGGGTAAATATTATAACATAACCATCAAAACATGAATAACTATTGCACCAAGATGTAGACAACATGTAATAAGGCGTCAAAATGGTGGAGTTTTCTATCTCCTTATAAAAGGCACTCAGAAAGCTGCGCAGTGCGACCATTCTCCGTATAGTAAGAAAAAATCGAAGTATGTGGTTAGCACAGTTTATAGCTAAATAATCAGTTCCAGTTTATACATTGCGCAACTCGGATTTGTATCCCTGGCGCATATAAAATCAAATCATACAATGCTAAAAGTGCGGTGAAAGTTGTATGATTGCAAAACACAAAATAAATTATAAACCGGTATTCTTTGTTACGAATATTGTCCTTTTTCCGACACTTTGAAGGTTACATACAATAAATGACAACTGCCTATATTCAAACAGCAGTCATCTACGCATCCTGAATTTATATCCCTCTAGTGGATGTTATTTTGGAACATCCAATTGGTTCGAGTGAGCTAACTGATTCTTTAGCTATAAACTATGCCGTTAGTATATATAACGTGGATAAAACAATGAAATGGAAAACGATATTTTGAGTTTGTTTCAACAATAATCTTGGAACCGTACATAAACCAGTCCACAACATATCAACGACTCATAGTCGACTACCTGTCCACGACCTGTCGAGGATTGGGACTGGAATGTGTTGGAACACATTTCTCTATTGTCAGGCACACTCTGTCAATGACGTCAAAGTTAAAACAAACTTTCGAAATAAAAAATTATAACACTCATTAAAAGATTTATAAATTTGTATTATTTGATTAGCTAGTATATTAAACTGTATTTATTTAAAAATTTTAAGTCATAATAATAGTCCTTTTTAATTTCTTCACTTTATTTATTACTCATTATTAAGTCTACAGATACACATATAAAATAATGACTATAAATAATAATGATAATGAATGAAAAGCAAATTACGATCGATAATAGTATATAATCTTTGGATCGAGACTACGATCAATGCTATCAAAACAAATATATCACAAAATTTCCAGAGTATTGGTCATGGTTTATTTACGAGATCACTTTCGTTTTGCGCATGTCTCGATAATTCGTTCCTATTCAGACCCAGGAACTGATTTGACAGAACAGAAACTAGTATGTGATTAGATTTGGGTGTGTTGGAACACTAGTTTTTGTACAGTTTTGAGTCCAAAGTTTGTTGGAACACCAAATCTAAACTGCGCAGAATCCCGACAGTACGTAAACCGATTTGCTATTGTGTTGAAACCTTTTGTCACCGAAGAAATTTATTATTTCAAACTTTGAGACAGTTGGTTCCACTTCAAACGAAATTAAAATATTTTTTTGATTATCACAAAATTAAAAAACGAAATTGAAAGGAAATAATATTCAGATTAAGGTACTACGAAACTGCTGTTTTAATGAAATAAATTAATAAAAACAAAAGATTATTTAAATTATGAGAGCTTTGGTTTCTTGCAACCGGATGGTCCAGGATTGTCAGAAACATTAGTTATCTTAATAAATTTCCTCCTAAAATAGTTTATACATTTGCGTTTGAAATTATTTTTCTTTAAAAAACTTATTGATAAACCAGAAGAATTTAAGTTGATCCCACTTAATACGCATGAGAGAAAGAGATAAATTTGGCGGCGAATTTGCCAAAGTAAAAATTTAGTTTCCTCTTAATATTATATCCTCATTCGTACAGGTTTAGATGATATTATTTTATTTATTTTATTTTATTTATGGATATGCTAAAAAATTTTTACTTACAGCGAAGAGAAATTAGTATTTGCTGTATCCAAGAAGAAAAGTGAATTGATATTAGATCTTATTCAATTGGGACCGCTGTATATGTCTACAACTACAGACGACGGTACAAGAGACACCGACTTGTTCTTTGCCGATGATTATGCGGATTCCCTTCCAGATGAAGAGAAAATATATCTTGAAAAGGAAGAAGAGGAAGAAGAGGAGGGAGACGAAACTGAAGAACCTCCTACTGCTTAAGCGAAGAAGACTCTGATTAAGAATGAAAACTGCGAAAAAATATTAAACAAACGAGTTTGACATAGTTTTATTTTTTTTGCATTTCTATTTGTAATAATAAATATCTCAAATTTTTGTAAAAATTATTTCTATAACTAGACATTAAATCATTATGGTATGATATGGGATATACTACAATAAGAGTTAAAGTGACGGCCATCGCACGAAGACGAAAAATCATCTGAGTTTTTCAAATAGTTTTTTTTCTCTATGAAAATAACGGTTCTTTACTCTTAAGCTAAATTCATATTTTTGGCCTCTCTCGCTTACGATACAAACTATTTGATATGAATGAAGTTTGTACTGGTTTAAAGTCAATCAAAAAATAAGTTTCTGAGAAAATAATAAAGGTTTTTAAAAGTGTCAGACAATTGTTAATTAGAGTTAAAATTAAAAAAAATCAGTATTTCTACTATAACGTTTTTGCCCGACATTTTTAAATATCTTGAGGACTGTTATCTGCCGACTCCCCCCCACCTTCCGTGGTCAGGGTTCATAACATCAAAACGTTCTTGTCTACCATAATGTACATACCCGTACACATGGAAAATCTTCATCTATAAAATATAATGTAGGTTTGGCGGTCGCTAGCCCTTAGTCTATACACGATATGCTTTTTGTTGGACATATCGCTGTCCCACTTTAAAGATGGAACATCTCAAAAGTTTTAGAATTTGAGATAAGAATGTATTTTTAGCAAGGAGGGCATGATACGTACAGTTCAACACTAATATCTCAAAAGATTTTGTAGAAGAAAGTGTAGAAACAAAATCTTTCGAGATATGTGTTGAACTGGATAGATCTTGCCCTACTTGCTATGGGACAGCGATAATATGTTCATAAGTAGACACAAAACGCGGGAACATTCAAAATTGTCATTCAATTTTTAGTTTAAAAGTGGTAGTCAAATTAAGATTTGTTCATACTAACCCTTTTTTTACGTTTATTGTAGCAAAAAAATTATATTTGTTACAATAAAGCAAAAAATGAGTAGTATGAACCAATCCTAACTTGACTACAAGTTGAAATATTTTATTATTTATTAGTACAAAAAATTAAAAAGTATGATCAACAAAATTAATTTATTAAAACAAAACAAAAAAATACAAATAGAATAATTAAATGTAGTGTGTTAATTAGCTGGAAAGTTAAGTCATTGTCCACAGAGGTTGAAGAGTTTTATCTAGAACAAAAAATAAATGTTAATAAACTTATAAATCAAGAAGGGTACAGGAAGAAAAAAGCAGCTAAGCCACATTTTTATTAAAATTGAACTGGTCCGCCCTATTTTGTAAAATACCAGTAGGTGTTAGCAAATGCAAAACAGTGCATTTAAAATTATGTCCAAGGATTTAGCATCTTTTCCTGCGGTTTGTTTGGCATTTTCAGTATTTAGAATAAAAAATTACATTTCTCTGGTAAATTAAGTGGTAAACTACAATATAATCAGGCAACATTTAAACAAAGTAACATCTTTTTGTAATCAATTACCTTAAAGTATCAAAAGTTTGTATTTAGTCAGTCTAAATTAAATTTGGTTTCCTAGACATTTTGGTAATTGTGACTTGGCCCCTTTTTTTCCTGAACCCTTCAAATATGTTAGGGAGCACAGAAAGTGAGGCATGAATAAAAAAAGGTATAATGGTCAGTATACCTTTTTCTTCCCGGACTAGGCTATTTTGTCTTCCACAATCCAATATTGCCATTCCAAACGGCTTGAAGAAAGTTTGTACTACAACAAATAAAAACAGTAAAAGTAACAATCTGAACTAAATCAATATAAAAATCAAATGTGAGGCATAAATACAAAAAGTACAGTGACTATTACTCCCCTGACTAGGCTGTTTTTGTCTTCAACGATTCAATACTGCCCTCCAAATGGCTTGAAAAAGTTTGTACTAGAACAAATAAAAATACAATTAGATCGCTGCGTGTACCAAGAACTTTAAACATATCTTCAAAATGTTTATCATATACTAAATAGTTTTTACAAATTTGTTGTTTTATTCTTGAAAAACGGACTGCGAACAGCCAATACTCAAATTTGAAATAAATCGTTATTTAGGATTTCAGAGTGGTTACAAAACAATTTGGAATACAACAATACGAGATACTATAGCTTTTATAACTAAAAATGATTACAAAAATTTAAAGTAAGCTCAATCGTCAGCAAGATCAAGTAAACAAATTGAACATTAAAAACAATTGAACAAGACCAAGTTGACAATACAATAAACAATAATTTACAAAATACTTACTATTTATTCATCCAGGATCCAAAACACATTCAAATACAAACAAATAATAATTATTGACAATATAATATTAATATTTACAAAAAATACAGGACAATACAGGTAAAATGGCAAATGTCATTCACCGGGAGGTAATGGATGCCTGATAAAGACAAATGACACTCCCGCTTTCCACCATCAATTGTAGATTTCTTTAAATTGTTGTGAACAGCGCCATCTAGAATTCGTTCTTTAAAACAAAAACATAGTTTCAGTTCGGGCTATACCAGGTACAGATACCTGAGTGAGTCTCCGGTCACGTCGTGGATGTGTAGCGGCTGGACAGTCCACCGACTTAGCTGACTAGCGGTTAACCATCGACGACGTGGAATTAAGGACGATGAATAAATGTATGATGAATGGAGAGAGGAGTAAAGCATCCAAATGATGGGGCACAATAAGCCACCTGCGTTTCAGTGCCGCCATGCGAACCCCAAAGTAGGCTGGACCCCAAGCCTGATTAAGGGGAGCCAGTAGTTGGAACCAAGCCTGATTGGGGACTGTATGCCGAAACCTTTCAGTGGGAGCAGAGGGATGCCTAAAAGGATAAAATAAAAAAATAGACATGTTCGAATCATAGCGAAATTAACCTACTATGTGGGATTAAAACCAGACATGGTATACTGGCTTTATAACATGATGGTGAGACCCATAATAACATACGCAGCTTTGGTGTGGTGGCCAAAGACACAGCAAAGGAAAGCAATAACGAGGCTAAGCAAGGTACAAAGACTTGCCTGCCTCGGAATAACGGGGGCAATGAAAACAACCCCACTTAAAGCATTAAAAAGACATTAAATTGATTTTTCCTGGTTTTCTTTAGTTTTACATCTGATTTGTATCCCGTTGTACAATCTGGAATGAAGTAAATCTTGCTTTGATATTTCTTGCCACTCACGTTACTTGTACTAAGGTACTTTTTTCACATTATTGTGATTCTGTTCACCAATTAAAAAAAAAACCTTACATTTTACATTGACTTACATAGAAAAATGACAGCGCTAGTGTTCGACATGCCAACTACAGTGAATTTCGCGAACTTTATAAAAAGAAGGACGGAAATTTGAATTTTGACCATTGACGATTCGCATCCTTCTCTCTAGTCTTCATAGCTGCGACATTAAAGATCTTCGCTTAGTACTCCATTCAGAAATGCTGTTTTGACGTCATAGTGTTTAACTATTAAATTTGCTATAGCTGCAATTTTTAGTAAAATTCTTAGTCTATTCAAATTTAATTTACGCCTGATGTAAACAGAAGCAGGTGGACGCTAAAATTGAGCAGGGTCGTATTTTACTTTTCCGTCTTGCAAAAATGTAAAATAAAAAATAATTGTGAAATTATTTTTTTATTACGATAAAAACATATTTTGTAAACTAAAACTATAAAATAAATGCCATACACGGTCTCCCAGACTTTAGTGACATTTCTGGACGAAGATAGGTGAGCGACATAAACTGCGTTAACCTGCAATACAAATTAATAAATGTATTTGACTTTGTTGTGTTGTGTGAGAGATATGGCTTCGAACGGTGTCCATTTGCCACAGAATGTTTAAATAAAAGAAACGGAATACAGAAAAGAAAGAAATAAGAGTAGGGTCTCAAATATCTAGCTTAGTGTCGCATATAAATTTAATTAAAATATCGAGGATATGTTTATCGGTGCTTGTCAGATATTTGACTTTAAAAGAGATGTTTGCATTATATTTAGTTCATTACATAGTCTACTGTGATACAGAGCATTAAAACAATCATAATATAAAATTATATTATACAGGGTGTTCAAATAATTGCAAATTCTTTAATAGCTAATATATATCTACTAAAAGCATTAAAAAAAACTTTAAAAATAAGAGGTATTTGGTATTTGAATTTGGTATTTGATTTAAAATTGTGCATCTTAAAAAGAAACCTTTTGTATTTTTGACAACTTTTGTTCTTTATTGTTCTTGTTCTACTAGTATTTAGATTAGACACCTTGTACCCTATATTATAGCAATTTTCCTTACTTGACTTGCCATTCGCACCGCTAATAGTTAAGAAATAAGCCAAGCCTAAAATGACATTTTTCCACTGACAATGTCATTTTAAGCTTCGCTTATTTCTTAACTACTAGCAGTGCGAATGGCCCTTAGCACTATTCTGAATCGGATAAATTAGTTAGACTTAAAGGGCTATCTTCATTAATCAAAATTACAAGTGGTTCTACTTGAACCTCTATAATATTATCCAACTCCCACATTTTTACTTCAACTTTTTGGCGAACATGGTCAATACACTTTTTCCATTTTTCTGGAGAAATTAATAATATTACTTCTTCAAAAAGAATTTTAATGTCTCCAGATTTAAATGTTGAGTTTTTATCTGTTACGTATTGTTTAACGTCAACCTAGATTAATTCAATATTATGTTGTTTTGCTGCTTAGCCATTTCATCTATTACATACCTATCATAATGTTTATGTTGCTTACCAAGTTTTAGAAGTTGGATCTTAAGCATTTGGTGGTCGAATTCAATTTTTTTCCCTTATAGCCATTTTTAAATATCACCTTTTTTAGACGTCGATGTAGGTATTTTTTTCAGCTTTCTCGAATAATAATGCAGTTATCTTCTAATTTTGGTAGGGTGTTTGAAAACCACTCTTTGAACGATTCTCCACACGTTTCTTCATGCTAGTCACCGGTTTTTTCAACTTCAATACATAAAGTGCA